CTACAAAAATACACATTGCATTCACTGTACACACACTACATCCACTACAAAAACACACTCTCCATCCAATGTACACACACGGCATCCACTACAAAACACACACTCTGCATTAACTATACACACCTACATTCACTACACACACACTCTGCATCTAATGCATGCATACAAACATTACATACATTACACAAAACGTACAATCTGCATCCACTATACACACTGCATCCATGACACACATACCACATCCACTATACACACTGCATCCATGACACTCATTCTACATCCACTATATACACACACACACACACACACACACACACACACTTCATCCTTGTGGGCAGACTCGGAGCTGGCCCAGGGGGCCCAGATCTTGAGCTGTGTCAGGGGCCCTAAATTTTCTGATGGCGGCCCTGACTGTGAGCCTAGAATATTGCACCTTTTCACAATATTCTAATTTACTGAGATTGTGGATTGGGGGTTTTCATGAGCTGTAAGACATAATCATCGCATTTATGACAAATCAGGGCACGAACTATCTTGCTTTGCATGGAATGCGTCTATCTCATATATTAGTTTCCCCTTTTAAGTTGCATTACTTAAATAAATGAACTTTTGCACGATATTCAAATTTTTGGAGTATCACCTGTATGTAATACAGACCCGAACTGGCCATTGGACAAACTGCTGTGTTTCAAAGATCTCTCACCCGCTCAAAGGAATTTTGCTGTGGCCACTGGCGAGGGAGGAATGAGGGAGAAGAGGACATGGGAGATCCAACTTACAACTCCGAATGGGTTCATCCTCTCGGGAGTTTACCATGGCAATGCTCCAATCTCGCGAGAATGAACGCTTGCCCCACTAGCTGCAGGCTAGAGTTTACTCACCACTAGTACTGCCAAGGATTGCAGAAAGGTCTCCTCTCCCTCAGCAAATGTAGGAAGGGAGGGGTGACATAAAGTATATATTTTTGTAATTAAAAAAAGTTAATATATTGCTTAATCTGTCTCCCCTCCCATACAATACCTCCCAACATACACACTGCACCCTTCACACATATTGCACAACTCATACACACACTGCATCCCTCACACACACACTGCACCCCTCTCACACACACACTGCACCCTACATATATACACAAACACACACTCACACTCTCACACACACACACATATATACTGCACCCCTCACACACACACACTAGATAACCTACACAACTCTGGGTTCTCCACAAACTCACTAGGCCACCTACACAGATCCCCTTTCGGCACACACTGCACCACCTAAACACACAAAATTTCTGACATACACACTCTGAATCCCCTATGCACACACTAGATCCCCTGTAATCAAACACACTCCATTCCCTATATACCACTATTTACAGTCCGTACACACACTAAATCACCCTTTATACACACTATGCCCCCTATGCACACTTTTTCTCTCATTCTCTAAAGCACCTAGCCACGTATATTACAACAGAAACACAACACAACTGAAACTGACCTATTTACACAAAACACCACAATCAGCTCACTCTACACATGCAATCCCACAAGCAGGCTCCAAAGGTCACGGGGCACCTTAGTATTCTGTGCCTACAAGCACCTAGCATTTAAATCTGTGACTGCTCCATAACAAGTATAATAAGCTGCAGTGGTTATTGTGCCTGCGTGCTCTGTTAAAGTCTAGTTAGGCCCAGGCATATGCCACCAAGCAGTATACTTTAAGCACTTAAATCTGAACTATTGTTCACCCTCTTCTGACCAGGAGGTTTTCAGATCTTCACTGCTGGCTCTTGACTCATGATCATCATGGCCCTCTAGTAATTTTCAATGGTCAGTCAGAGCCAGTTTATAGTTTGGTAGTGAACCAAGCACAATGTATGAATAGCAGTGTATTTTAATAAATATAATTGAATGAGCATGCAATATTGGAAGCAAACAGCAGGTGATGCTGTAAAACTAGTTTTAATACCTATACATAGTTTGTATGCTTGTGATTTTTATTGAGTTTCAGCTGATAGATCTACTGATTTTTTCTGTAATAAGGAACTGCACCTCTCTCTTTATGTGCAAAAATGAGTGACATACACTCACAAGGACACTGACAGACAGATTTTAAGTAGAAAGAAGTATCAACTGTCCCTACCATGCTTGATTATTACAGTGGCAATCATGGGGCTCATTTCTGTTTTTTCTAAGAGGAGAATTACCACCCCAGTAGGATTACACGCACAAGATGTAGAGAGGTATAAGCGCTCCAAGGCGTCTCCCACGACCATTAGGGGGCCAGAATGCTCACTCCCACTGGATACCGGACTCCTGGATGTTTAGAAGATGAACTTCGTACAATATTAAAGTGAAAATGTAACAGACTCAGGGCACATCCTTTTTAAATAAAATTCCTACGCATTTTGCACACTAGTGTTGAGTCCTCAGGGACCACCAACATGAGCATGCAGATAAAAACAGGTGAAGAAACGGCAGGAGAAACCTTATATCTGACATTAGTAGAAGTGAAAGAGGTGGGAATGTCTTCAGCATTTTCCTAACAATGGGCTATGCAGAGTTATCTTGGCAAAGAAACATGTTGATATCCAAATTAAGTGTGACTAGAAAATGAAAATTGGTGGAAAGAACAAAACTGCATTACCAGACGTTGGCCAGAAGAGGATGCTAGCTATTCAACGTATTATAATCAAAACCTTTCAACATACAGGGAGGGAGCAATACTGCTGCGTTTGGCTGTTATATTATGCAAGAACTACTTATCAAACCTGAATTAGCTACAGCAGTTAAAAATTAAATGTCACCAATCAATCTTTATATCTACGTAATACATTCATATTTGTAAAATGTTTTATAGGCAGATCGGAGCAGAAACTAGCAAAATATATTCTAGTGATTGTTGTGTTAAAGGGGCACTTTTTTGCATTAACCCTTTTGTTGCATAAAAAAAAACACTGTGGATCCCACAAAAAAAACCCAACTTTACATAGCCCTTCCCCCACTAATGGCACAATTCTAACTTTTCTTTCAGTGGTTATGGTGTATAACGTCATGGGAAAATGCTCAGAGAAATTACATCAGAGAGTTACATCTCAGACACTACAGGCCTAAGTTAGCATGTTTAATGTTAAAGTTCATGATAGTACAATTAGAAAAAAGATTGAACAAGTCTGGTTTGTTTGGTAGGGTTGCCAGGAGAAAGCCTCTTCTCTCTAAAAAGAACATGGCAACTCATCTTAGGTTTGCAAAGTTGCATCTGAACAAACCACGTGACTTCTGGAACAATATCCTTTGGACAGACGAGACCAAAGTGATGTTTGAGAGAGATGTTTGGCCATAAAGCACAGCACCACGTTTGGTAAAAACACAGCATATCAGCACAGACACCTCATACCAACTGTCAAGACGGGTGGTGGAGGGGTGATGATTTTTGACTTTTGTTTTTTGTAGCCACAGAACCTGGGAACCTCGCAGTCATTGAGCCGACCATGAACTCCTCTGTTTTATAAAGTATTCTAGAGTTGAATGTGAAGCCATCTGTACAACAGTTAAAGCATGGCTGAAATTGAATCATACAACAGGACAATGATCCCAAACTCACCAGCAAATATACAAAAGAATGGCAGAAAAATAAAAGAATCAATGACCCAGTCACAGTCCAGACATCAATTTATTAACCTGTCAACACCGTTAGGGTGTTCTATGCCATCCCCATTATAATGGGCTCATAGGCGTGCGTACGGGGTGTGCCGGGCGTGCCTGGGCACACCCTAATCACACGTCCGTGTTGCACTGCCTTAGGGCAGACTAACATGTCGGGTTGACTCGACACAGGAGGGAGCCCGGCGGCTTGCCCACAATGCCGCCAGGTGCAAGGCCCCTCTTGTCAGTCTGCCCTGATGGAGATCCAGCCTCAGTCTGCCGGGATTGAGCTGCAGACTGAAGTGTCTCGCGATCTCCAACCTGTCAGAGCTTTGCCGCGGGTTACCAACGCAATCAGGTGAAATATATATATATATATACAGTTTATAGGGCAGGGCAGCTGTAACCAACACCTCCAATCTCATCTCATTGATTGGACTCCAGTTGGCTGACATCTCACTCCAATTAGCTCTTGGAGATGTCATTAGTCTAGAGTTTCACATACTTTTTCCACCTGCACTGTGAATGTTTACATGGTGTGTTCAAAACATAGCAACATTTCATTCTTTGTGTGTTATTAGTTTAAGCAGACTGTGATTGTCTATTGTTGTGATTTAGGTGATGATCAGATCACATTTTATGACCAATTTGTGCAGAAATCCATATCATTCCAAAGGGTTCACATACTTTTTCTTGCAACTGTGTGTGTATATATATATATGATTTTTTATATTGATAGTTTTATATATCCATATCAAAATACACTTATGTGACAGAACACCTAGTCACCGAACCATTGCTGACAGTTCAGTTACTACTTATGGTTCGTGAACTGAACAAACACACAAATTGCCCATTTATACACCCCATACTTTGACCACCTCTTGGCTCGTTAACCCCTATTGACCACTCCTGACACCTTCATCATAGTTCCACACATCGTTATTTCAAGTGTTCGGCTGGGTGGCCGCTTTTCACAGGGACGAACACGTGGTAAATGAGTTGGTGGCCATCTTGTCGCACAAATGCAGGCAGCAGTGCTCGGTCATCGAGTGCATGGAACTGATATCGGACAGTGCATGGAACTGAACTCGCCAACATGGAAAAGGGGATAGCCCTATGTTTGACCCCTGTAAGTTTCCAAAAACTCCTAAAACCTGTACATTTGGGGTACTGTTGTACTCCTGAGACATTGCTGAATACAAATATGTGTATTTTATTGCAGTAAAATCTAACAGTATTATGACAGTCACAGTTAAAATGTCATGCAGAACTTGAAAAATATTTCTTTTCTTAATTTCTCACAATGTTTTAGATTTTATTTACGTTCAATTATGTTGTATATATCAATATGTGAAATGAAATGAAAGCCCTGTTTCTCCTGAACAAAATTATATACAGTGGGGGAAAAAAGTATTTGATCCCCTGCTGATTTTGAACGTTTGCCCACTGACAAGGAAATGATCAGTCTATAATTGTAATGGTAGGTGTATTTTAACAGTGAGAGACAGAATAACGAAAAAAAAATCTAGGAAAACTCATGTAAAAAAAGTTATAAATGGATTTGCATGTATGAGTGAAATAAGTATTTGATTCCCTATCAATCAGCAAGATTTCTGGCTCCCAGGTGTCTTTTATACATGTAATGAGCTGAGATTAGGAGCACTCTCTTAAAGGGCGTGCTCCTAATCTCAGTTTGTTACCTGCATAAAAGACACCTGTCCGCAGAATCAATCAATCTATCAGATTCCAAACTCTCCACCATGGCCAAGATCAAAGAGCTGTCCAAGGATGTCAGGGACAAGATTGTAGACCTACACAAGGCTGGAATGGGCTACAAGACCATCGCCAAGCAGCTTGGTGAGGAGGTGACAACAGTTGGTGCGATTATTCGCAAATGGAAGAAACAAAATAACTGTCAGTCTCCCTTAGTCTGGTGCTCCTTGCAAGATCTCACCTCATGGAGTTTCAATGATCATGAAAACGGTAAGGAATCAGTCCAGAACTTGTTAGTGATCTCAAGGCAGCTGGGACCATAGTCTCATAGCATTGTAGGAGTTTTATTACAGATGGGGATCTATCTTTTCTCCACTCCATGTTTGGGGGGGTTAAAATTGAGGTGTGTGTTTGTGATGAAATTAGGGGTTGTGATGTAGAAGGATAGGGACTGTCGTGTAGGGGACAGAGGCTGTTATGTTTGTGAAGTTAAAATAAGGGTTATATGGGAGAAAGCGGCTGTAGTGTAAGTGGGGGCAGGAAATTTAGTGTAGTGGGGACAGGGGATGTAGTGTGTGACAGGAAATAAGATATTTAGTGTGGTGGAGTTAAGGGATTTAGTATAGGGTTGCTTGGGGCTTTTGTTTGTGTGTGTTTATGGGAGGAGAGGTTTAATGATGAGCACTGACTGTTACATTTTTTACAATATTTAAAATCTTCAATAAAATGTTTTGACAAGAAATAAAATTAAATATTGGCAAAAAAGTGCAAAACAAAATCCTTAAATTCCAATCTACAATCCTCCTTGAACCTAACTCCTAATGGTCACATTTCCCTAACTGTGACCCTAACTTGGTCATGTGAGCCATGTCATCTGGCTTGTTTGCCTCTTATACCCCAATGGTCTAGCCTATTACATATGATTATGCTCCACTGGAAGTAAGAAATCAAGTCTGATTAATAGCTTTTGATAGCTACATATTGCTTGACATGCATCACTGGTTTTTCAGTACTTATGTGAGAGTGAAACTTTTTTATGACTGCATATAATGAGAACTTTATATTTCATGTTTATTTGCATCACAATTTCAGTGTGTGTGAAATACATAACTATGTGGAGAAATGTTTAGAATATATATAGTATTAAAGTAAGTTGCTTTTTTTGTTTTTGAAATAAAGTTCTGAGTATTTATTACCATCATCCCATACATCACAGACAGATTTGTAAAGCAATAGTTTTCAATTTGAATGCTACATTAGAGCTTGTAGAGGTGAATATTAAAATTCCATCAAAATACATTCATTTTTTGGAGTCTTCACACTTATATCCTATCTTTATGTCCATCACCATGCTCTTCATCACCATGTCCTCTACCAGCATGACCTTGATTTTCATGTTCTTTGTCATGGCCTCTACCATCGTGTCCTTCACTGCCTTGTCTATCATCATGGCCTCTACCAGTCTGACCTTGATTTCCATATTGTTGATCATGGTCTCTATCACCACGACCATCACTTCCTGGCCTATCATCATGACCTCTACCAACACGACCTTGATTTCCATGTCCTTCCGCATGGCCTCTTCCATCATGACTTTGACTTCCTTCTCTTTCTTCATGACCTCTACCATCACGACCTTGATTTCCATGTCCTTCATCATGGCCTCTGCCATCATGACCTTGACTTCCTTGTCTTTCATCATGACTTCTACCAAAATTACTTTGACATTGACCATCTTTGTAGCCTTGACCATCCTGACATTTTTGTTTTCCAAGATCTGATAAAAAAAAACAATAGACTTTGTTAGTTTGTGCCATTATTTGTACATTACCGGTGATTTCATAATATTGCATAAAAGATGTTCCTTTACTATTACTCTGACCAGTAGGGTAATTAAGTGTCACATGAAATTATTAAGCTTACACCGCTGTAAACCTTTTTACATGACTCCATCCAAGAAATCAGTTAATATTTTACTGGTGTACATGGTATGCAATACAGGAGATGATAAGGACATTTACATGTTAACATTGGGTATTTCTAAACTCAGGCCAAAATTTAGAAACTATTTAGCACAGGTATTTTTTGGCAGTTGTAGATGTGTAACAGGTTTTGGGAGTCAAAATTAGAAAATGTGTTTTTTTTACATTTTTTCATCATATTTTATAATTTTTTTATAGTAAATTATATGATGAAAATAATGGTATCTTTAAAAAGACCAATTAATGTCGAGAGAAATGGTATGTAATATGTGTTGGTACAGTAAATGAGTAAGAGGAAAATTACAGCTAAACACAATGTAAAAACAACCTTGGTCCCAAATAGTAAGAAAATTGAAAAGTGGTCTGGTCACTAAGGGGTTAAAGGAAAGAGGGATGGAACTCTATTAGTGCCCCCTAGAGCATAAAAATAATATATATCTATGATAATAAATAGTTTGGAGTAACCTTGTAATATAGCATTCCTGGCAACAATATCAATAAGTAGTTTGGTTAACCAAAATGCTGGATATGTTTTTTCCTGCTATCTTCTTTTTTTTTTTTTTTTAAATAGTGTTCGAGATAATTACTATGCTCTTTCAGCCCTTCCTTTGTGCTTCTTCCCAACATTTGTACATTAGTACCCTTCCTATCTTAAAAAAAATAAAAATATATATATATATATGTATATGAAAAACATATGTACAACAAAAAGCCAGCTGTGAAAAGCTGTGAAATATAGCTCCCAGAATCCCTCACTTTGCCATAAACAGCTGAGTTTGGGAAAAAGCTCGACAATAAAATAGAAAATATAGCAAGCATCAATTTTTTTCTGATTTTATAAATCTTGCCGATCACATAGTTTAGGAGGAAATAGTTTTTTTAAATTATTTTCTACTTAATATTATGCAAGTTTTTGATAGACAATGTCAGGAATGCCCCATTAAATCACTTTTATCTCAGCACTAGAAAGGCAATACATGTTTACAGGTCTTTGACAGCGATGCATGTCTGAATATCCATTCACAATATTACTCACCATTGTGATCTGTACGTGGACCAATGTTTTGCAGGCCTACTATTTCCCCCGACATGGTAATAGATTCTGCCAACAGACTGGAGTCGAACACTGCTGTGTATGTAATAAGAATGGTCCATCTCTCTTTATATAGTCTAAGACCGTTTGATTGTGAATAAGCAAAATACTATCCAATAAGAATTCCAGCACAACATTCTTTATCAGAACATTACACAATCCTTAAATTGCAGCCATTAATCTAGCTTCCTTAAAAGCTTTTCTCATTTTAAAGGATAAAATAATGAAGCATTTTCCTTTACTTTTTTCAAATCCCATTTTTGCTGACTTTTTGTTTTCTCCACATGCAGAAATACATTATATCTGCGTCACAAATAAATAGCATTGAATTATTTGCAGGTGTGACTAAAGCTTGTTATACATGATGACATCATCTCGAGTGCTTTATGTAGGAATAAAATGGCTAGATACTAATTTAACTAGAACAGATAGGTAGCGAACAGCGCCATCACCACACAGCAGTATATACAACCAATGTGTGCAATATATTTGTTAAGACACCTCCCGTGTCTTTAAGTCAAACCGCCGTTTAGTAAACCTTCCCCGGCTGCAGTACCGTCTCTGTTCGCTTACTCTATAATCCACAAACGAAATGCAGGGGAAGCGACAATCTCCCGATCGAAATCCACGAACGGCTCCAAACTCCCGAACGGCAATATACGAACTGCTAGGAACCGTCGAACACTAATATCCCCAAAGCGGCTTTCGTTCCATCCAGCAGTCTCTAACCATGAAGAAGAAATCCCCCCAATAACGAGATATAGAAGCTCCACATTGAGGGTCAAATAAGATCTGGTTTTACTGTGGGCTACCTGCCCGTATTTATGCAGGTCTCCCACCTGGTGGACACTCCCCTAGGGGACCAGATGGAAGACTTAAATTACAGACAGATAGAAGGACATTTCTGACACACAGTCACATCTCTTACCCACAGTGCATTCTGATTCCCTCCCCTCTGTCCTGGAGTTAATTACCAGGTAACTCAATTAACTCCAGGACAAGGACAGTCGCCATTTTAAACATAAAATAATAAAAGACATAAAAATGCATAACTACATGAAAACTGAACATTTCCCATTCGTATTACATGTCCCCAGATAGCCTGGATCTGAGTGCATATTATTAGCGAATAGCGCTCAGATCCCACACACATAGTTCAATCGCCATGGAGTCAAAGTTCTTACAGTCTTTCGGTATACGAATGACTCCATGGGAGGGCTATCTGGGTTAAGTCTTTCGTATGTTCTCAATCTCCCGAACGGCCGGTGTTCGCATGCTTTCGTGGAGGCAGCCAGGCGTTCCCTTGTTTCAGCGGTGTTCGGCAGAAAAAGTGTCCGTTTTCAGTTCCATAGAAATAGAGCCAAACACCGCTGAGCGTTCGCATGATTTAAAATGGCCGCTGCCTCGTGGTCGACATACGAACGACGACCACCCTGAGTTCGGTTTAATTGAGAAGTGTCTGCGGTTAACCACAACGTTATAATGGTGATCACTTCGTTAACCTGCAGCACACTCCTCACTTGGGTGGCCGTTCGTTCGGCAGATTTGTTCGGGAAAAGAGTAATTCGAATGGCTGGGCTATAGAAACCAGCCATTCATACGAACGGGGACAAACAGACAAACGGGCAAAAATCCAGCAGACAGATGGTTCTGTCACACGGCTCCCTCCTTGTGGGACACTCCGGCAGACCCGGCTTGACCCTGTGGCGGGTCAACTTGGGGATGACCGGACTACGAGGTGATGGAAACGTCTGTTTGTCGTGACAACCCATCTGCGTTTCCGCTTAGCTTACCGGGTCTGTAGCTGATGGTAAAATTGTAGGGCTGTAGTGCCAAGCTCCATCTCAGCAGTCTCCCATTGTCTCCTGAGACCCGGTTAAGCCAAACGAGTGGGTTGTGATCAGTCACAAGGGAAAACTCTTGCCCATACAAGTAGGGACTTAACTTTTTCAATGCCCAGACCAAAGCCAAACACTCCTTCTCCACTGCCGCATAACTCACTTCTCTGGGTAATAACTTTCTGCTGAGATATGCGACAGGGTGCTCTCCTCCATCTTCCCCGACTTGGCTCAGCACAGCCCCCAGTCCATACATGGAAGCATCTGTGTGTTCGAGAAAACGTTTGTTAGGGACTGGAGCAGCCAAGACAGGGGCATTCACAAGAGCCTGCTTCAGTGCCTGGAACGCAGCTTCACAAGCCGGAGACCACAGGACCTGCTTAGGCAAGTTTTTCTTGGTCAGATCTGTCAGGGGCCTAGCGATAGCGCTGTAGTCAGGGACAAAGCGTCTGTAGTACCCTGCCGTCCCCAAGAAGGCCAATACCTGGGTCTTAGTAGTAGGTGTGGGCCAGTTAGCCACTGCCTCTACCTTGGCTGGCTCCGGTCTCTGGCTCCCACACCCCACTCTGTGACCCAGGTACTGTACTTCAGCCATACCTAGATGACACTTTTCTGGCTTCAATGTCAGGCCAGCGGCCCTAATCTTATCCAGCACTACCCCTACATGTACCAGGTGTTCCTCCCAGGACCCACTGTAGATCGTAATGTCGTCCAAGTATGCACAGGCAAATTCTTGGAAGCCATCCAGGAGTCTATCCACCATCCGTTGGAAGGTAGCCGGTGCATTTTTCATCCCAAAAGGCATGACCTTAAATTGGTACAGGCCAAATGGGGTGACAAATGCCGACTTGGGGATAGCATCCTCGGCCAGGGGGATCTGCCAGTAGCCCTTACACAGGTCTATGGTGGTCAGATATCGCCCCCTGGCAATACGATCTAGTAATTCGTCTACCCGGGGCATTGGGTAGGCGTCAGTGGTGGTCCGCTCGTTGAGTCGCCTGTAGTCCACACAGAACCGGGTGGTCCCATCTTTCTTTGGCACCAGGACTACAGGCGAGGCCCAAGGGCTGTCGGAGTGCTCGATAACCCCAAGTTGGGTCATCTCCTGTATCTCCTTCACGGACTGCTTCAGGGATACGGTAGGGAGGCTGTCGTAACGGGGTCTGTCCAGGGGTCTCTACCTTATGCACAGCTAGGGTGGTATAACCTGGTTCCTGGGAGAACGTCGCCTGCTTCTCCCATAACAACTGCTGCGCCTGTACCCTTTCTGTGGGGTTCAACCGGTCCCCTAGCTGTACAAGGGTAGTAAGGTCAGTCTGGGAATCCCTTTCTAATAGATCTGGAAGGGGTAAGTTCTCAGAATCATCTGCAGCTGGGGCACATACTGCTGCAATATTCTCAGGTCTCTCCTGGTACTCTTTCAGCATGTTCACATGAAAGGACCGCTGGATCCTCTCATCTGCACAGCTGGCTATCAAGTAAGTAGTGTCGCAGATCTGCGCCACTACCTTGTACGGGCCCTGCCAAGATGCTTGCATCTTGTTGGCCTTCACAGGTTTAAGCACCAATACCTTTTGCCCAACCTGGAAGACCCGCTGTCGGGCACCCTGATCGTACCATCTCTTCTGTCTCCCCTGGGCCGCCTGGAGATTCTCCCTTACCATCAGGGACAGTTTCTCCATGCGGTCCCGGAGTTCCAAAACATATGGTACTATGGGGATCCCTTCCTGCTCCGTCTCCCCCTCCCAGTGGCCTCTAATGAGATCTAGGGGTCCGCGGACCCTTCTCCCATACAGCAGCTCAAAGGGGGAGAACCCAGTAGATTCCTGGGGCACCTCTCTATAAGAAAATAATAGATGAGGCAGGAATCTCTCCCAGTCTCTGCAAGTGTCTGTAAAGGTCCTCAGCATCTGTTTGAGGGTACCGTTAAAGCGCTCGCAGAGACCGTTAGTCTGTGGGTGGTAGGGTGAGCTAAGTAACGGCTTAATGCCGCACACCTTCCACAGTTGCTGGGTGAGCACAGCGGTGAATTGGGTTCCCTGGTCGGAGAGGATCTCCTTAGGGAACCCGACCCTAGTAAAAATTCTAACCAGGGCATCAGCAACCGTCTCTGCCTCTATGTTAGACAGCGCTACTGCCTCTGGATAGCGGGTGGCATAGTCCACCACGGTAAGAACATACTTCTTACCGGATGGACTAGCCCTGGCCAGTGGACCCACAATGTCAACGGCTATGCGGGCAAAGGGCTCCCCTATAATAGGCATCGATAATAGCCTAGCCTTAGGGTGGTCCCCCCGCTTTCCTACCCGTTGACATGTGTCACACGTGCTGCAGTACATCCGCACAGCCTGGTTAAAGTTTGGCCAGAAGAAGTTCTGTGAAATCCTATAGGCTGTGCGGCGGGACCCTAGATGTCCAGCTAAAGGAACATCATGCCCTATCCGCAGAATCTCCTGCCGGTACTTTGCAGGTACCACTAACTGGCGATTCGGCGGAGTGGCAACACTCTTCTGGGAAGGTTTAGGGATCCTATACAACCTGTCCCCCACCCACTCATACCGTTCCCCATCTATTCCTTCCTCTCCAGCATCTGCCCTGTCCTTGTATCTTTGGAGGGTTGGATCTGCCCGGGTTTCCCTCCCAAACTCCTCTGGGGAATCCCAGCTTAAGGGAACCTGATCTGGGGTACCAGTCGGGGAAGGAGATCTTACCTGGGTCTCGTCAGCAAGTGGGCTGGTTCCGGCGGCACGGGTCTGGGCACGGGTGGTCACTGGGTTCACGTCTGCAGGGCCCATCGGAGCATAGGCTGAAACCAAAGGGGCCAAATCGTTTCCCAAAAGAACATCGGCGGGCAAGTCCTTCATCACCCCCACATCCACATGCCTAGCGCCCACTCCCCAATCCAAATGTACTCGGGCAACAGGTAAGCGAAACACGGCACCCCCTGCTACCCTTACTGCCACAGTGTCTCCAGTGTGCTGATGTTCTGAGACCAGGTTCTTTTGGAGCAGTGTCATCGTGGCTCCTGTGTCCCTCAGCCCATTCACCACTCTGCCATTCAGTTTCACAGTTTGCCGATGTTGCTGGCGATTATCCTGGTGAGCTGCTTGCACTGGGTCTGCCTCGTGTAGAATGCCCCAAAATTCCTCCTGCTCTAGGCAGTGAGCAGCAGGCTGAGGTGGGCGCTGGTTTCCATTAACTGGTCTCCTCCAGGACTGAGCCTGGTTGGCACTGTTCAGTGCGCACTCAGGACTCTTGTGTCCCAACTGCTTGCACCCATAGCACCGGATGGGTTGGGAGTACTCCCGGGCATTAAATCGGGCTGGTTGCATATAATTGTTAGCTGGTGGTGCGGCTGGGGTACGGTGTACTGGGGGTTGGTAGACTGCAGGAGCGGGTGTTACTGCTGGTCGATACTCCAGTCTGGCAGGGGCTTTAGCAGCTGTACCATCCAACTTGCGGGCATCTGTGTATTCGTCTGCCAGACGGGCAGCCTCGGGTAGGGTAGAGGGTTTTCTGTCTCTGACCCATTCCCGGACCCCAGCAGGTAGTCTATCAAAGCAGTGCTCCAGCAGGAACACTTGTAACACCTCTTCCCCAGTTACCGCTTGGCATCCAGCCATCCAGTGGGCTGCGGTACGATGGACTCTGCAGGCCCATTCCACATAAGAGTCCCCAACCAGCTTGTTGGTTTCTCTAAACCTCCGCCTGTACGCCTCTGGGGTCACTGCATACCTGGCTAGGAGCGCCTCTTTCACAGCCCGGTAGCTGGTGATCTCCTCCTCTGGGATGGCCCGAAAAGCTTCACTAGCCCGGCCAGATAATTTCCCAGAGAGGATGGTGACCCATTCATCTGCAGGTACCTGATGTAGCGCACACTGCCTCTCAAAGTCTGCCAAAAATCCATCAATCTCTCCCTCTGTTTCCACAAAATTTTTAAACGCAGCAAAAGGTACCTTCTTTCTAGCAACCACATTATTGTCATACGGTACCTCTGCTGCTGCAGCTCCTCTTTCCCGGGCTGCCTGTTGTGCTGCAACTGCTGCCTGCACACGAACCACGATGTCAGCTGGGGGGTTGGGGCCAAAATGTGCCAGCCTTATTTGTACTGCCCGGTTGAATTGTATTTCCTCGGGTGTTAAATCCAAGGTACTGGGCACGTTGACTCTTTCCATTCCCGTTGCTGCATCCATCTCCATTAGCAAAGCAATAATCTCCCGTTTCTTTAAATTGCTTGCTGACCTTCCTCGGTGTTCCAATATGTCCTTAAGTGTAGCACGCCTTAATTCCTCGTACTGCATGTCTCGTAGCTGACCTCCAATGCTGCAGGATTCATCCCGTCGCTTGCCACCAATTGTTAAGACACCTCCCGTGTCTTTAAGTCAAACCGCCGTTTAGTAAACCTTCCCCGGCTGCAGTACCGTCTCTGTTCGCTTACTCTATAATCCACGAACGAAATGCAGGGGAAGCGACAATCTCCCGATCGAAATCCACGAACGGCTCCAAACTCCCGAACGGCAATATACGAACTGCTAGGAACCGTCGAACACTAATATCCCCAAAGCGGCTTTCGTTCCATCCAGCAGTCTCTAACCGTGAAGAAGAAATCCCCCCAATAACGAGACAGAAGCTCCGCATTGAGGGTCAAATAAGATCTGGTTTTACTGTGGGCTACCTGCCCGTATTTATGCAGGTCTCCCACCTGGTGGACACTCCCCTAGGGGACCAGATGGAAGACTTAAATTACAGACAGATAGAAGGACATTTCTGACACACAGTCACATCTCTTACCCACAGTGCATTCTGATTCCCTCCCCTCTGTCCTGGAGTTAATTACCAAGTAACTCAATTAACTCCAGGACAAGGACAGTCGCCATTTTAAACATAAAATAATAAAAGACATAAAAATGCATAACTACATGAAAACTGAACATTTCCCATTCGTATTACATGTCCCCAGATAGCCTGGATCTGAGTGCATATTATTAGCGAATAGCGCTCAGATCCCACACACATAGTTCAATCGCCATGGAGTCAAAGTTCTTACAGTCTTTCGGTATACGAATGACTCCATGGGAGGGCTATCTGGGTTAAGTCTTTCGTATGTTCTCAATCTCCTGAACGGCTGGTGTTCGCATGCTTTCGTGGAGGCAGCCAGGCGTTCCCTTGTTTCAGCGGTGTTCGGCAGAAAAAGTGTCCGTTTTCAGTTCCATAGAAATAGAGCCAAACACCGCTGGGCGTTCGCATGATTTAAAATGGCCGCTGCCTCGTGGTCGACATACGAACGACGACCACCCTGAGTTCGGTTTAATTGAGAAGTGTCTGCGGTTAACCACAACGTTATAATGGTGATCACTTCGTTAACCTGCAGCACACTCCTCACTTGGGTGGCCGTTCGTTCGGCGGTTTTGTTCGGGGAAAAGAGTCATTCGAATGGCTGGGCTATAGAAACCAGCCATTCATACGAACGGGGACAAACAGACGAACGGGCAAAAATCCAGCAGACAGATGGTTCTGTCACAATATTATATACTGCTATAATATACTGCTGTGCGGTGATTGCACTGTTCACTCCTATTTGTTGTATTCATTGTAATAGTGGAATTTTTTTGTAATTTATTCCACAGTGTTACGAGCTGCACCTTGTATTCTTTAGCGCCTGGTATTATACATTACATGCACTAATATAACTAGACTGTTGTTGATTCACCCATGAGCGGGGCAATATATACAATTACCATTGCCAAAGGTGGCAGAACTAATAAAGAGAGGGCTCTGGTGCAAGAATTTTTTTTTTTTGGCCTTCTCTAGTGCAAGCATGGCCATTGTGTGTAATGTTGGCATTTGAATGCAGCTGTGTGTTTGGCGTTTGATTGCTGGTATGTACGCACATAGGCACATACACTGCCCCACATAGATACACACACTGACACAGACAGATGCATACATAGATAAACACTGACTCACACTGACTCATACACATACAAATACACACAAAAGTACACTCACAAACACTGACACACAGATGCAGACATACACGAACAGATGCATACATGTACACACACTTACAAATTTACATATACAGATAACATATATACACACTTATAACACATATACACACACACAACATAATACACACATAAATACATAGATTATTATTAGTATTTATACAGCGCCAACTAATTCCGCAGCGCTTTACAATATTATGAAATTTACAGTAAATTAAACAATTACACAATGACATAGGAACAATAAGTAGATGAGGGCCCTGCTCAAGCTTACACTGTAGAGGAGTTGGGGAACAAAAACACAACTGGGTAGCAAGGGTGAGAGGCAACAAACAAGGTGGAAAAGTAGCAGAACTTGAGGTGAGAGTGGAGTGTGGCTCTTTAGGAGACCAAGAGACAGATATGGACAAGTATAGATAAGTTACTCTGGAAGTCCATACGCATTCCTGAACAGATGTGTTTTGAGGGACTTCTTATATAATTGAAGACTAAGGGAGAGTCTGATGGGGTTAGGCAGGCTGTTCCAAAGGAAGGGAGCTGTTCACGAGAAGTCCTGCAAGTTAGCAGTAAGTTTGTGAGCAGCAGACAGGAGAAGGTCACTGGCAGAGCGGAGAGAACGGGAAGGGGCATATCTATGAATCAGTTAATAGAGCTAGAGTTGTTTATAGATTTATAGGTAAGGGTTAGTATTTTGAATTGACATCTATAGCATACAGTAAGCCAATTTAAGAATGGACAGAGGGGCAAGGTGGGAGAGGAGCTACAGGTGAGAAAAATCAGCCTGGCAGGAGCATTCATTACAGAATATAGCGGGGTGCTCGGCTTCTGTGGAGACCAACCAGGAAAGAATTACAGTAATCCATGCAAGAGATTACCAGAACATGAACAAGCTCCTTGACAACTGACACACACACACACACACACACACAGATTATGCTAATAATAATTTGTACATTTGTAATTAGTGCACATGAAGAATGATACCTTTAAATATTTTCATATATTAGTTCTGAGTTTTGGAATAACTCACAGTTTTTTATGGGATTTAATCCAACCTTCAGCAGTTATAGGTCAAATATTATAAAAAGGGCTTTAGTATTTCAAAATTTAGAGCTTGCAAAATACATATAAAGTAACACTATAACATTTGGAATACAAAGTTGTATTCCTAGCAATATAGTGTTCCTGTCCCTAGTGGTATAAGGTCAAACCGATTCGGCATTACCTCTCCTCACCCAGCAGCATAACATTATTATACAATCCAATGCTCCTAAATGTTGTGCACACATTCAGCCATTATCATAGGAAACTATTGAAGCAATGTTTTTCTGTGGGGTTCATGCATCACATGACCGATTCATACTGACAGCCACTAGAGAGGAGCTTAAATTTTCCTGTTTTTCAAAAACCTCAATGTTTCAGATTGCAGGGTTAAGAGGACAGGGACATACACCCAGATCATTTCATAGTGATTTCAAGGGAACTGGGTGACTATAGTGTTCCTTTAACACAGATCACTAAATTTGAACCTGCTACACAAAATAATTAATTTATAGCAAAGGTTATTATAGTTTAGCTTATTATAGTTTGTCTAATGATTGGCCAAAAGTTACATTGTGTATTGGTAGGAAACACCACAAATATGAAGCCATATTTTATAATCTTCTAGAATTCATTGGTTCCAATAAACATTAATGTTATTGTTTATGTGATACAAGACATTTTACTCTCCGTTACGTGCATACGTCTATATCCCACCAGTGGGGGACCAATACCACTGAATGTGAAGTACACCTGAGCTAGTTCAAGCTCCAATATAGGTGAGTGTGATACCTTTTCACTTTGAATCCTCATAAAGAAGCGGAAGATACAGTCTACACTATTGGGTTTTTTCTTTGTTCTCTTTGGCATATTGGCATCCGGAACAAGACGTTACACTCATTCCTCCAAATCCATTTGGACTATTTCCCTTCCTCAAGTGGATGTGACCATTCCCTGCTTATTTTAGGACTGTTTTTCTTTCTCTCTTTTTATGTACTGATATATGTAAGTACTTACCATATTGCATATATATGTTTTAGTTGTTTTATATGAAGATATTTCAGTTTTTATCTACGGTTGTACTATCTGCTTTATCTTGTTACATTCATTTTTTTGGCGCTACCTAATACCTTCTTTCCTTTAGATTTTACTTAAATGACAGAGCATTGTAGGCAACAATGTCAAGGTGCCCTATCCAGTCAATGAGACAACAGACCAGGAAATATAAAAAATATTTGATTGTAACCTGTTGTGACGGTAGTAAACTGTATCACCGTCAAGCATTCCCTTCTTCCCATAAAAGAAAATCACCAAGTAATCCACAGGAATAAATATCGCTGGTATCGCCAAATAATCCACACATGAGCCAAAGCTTAATGCTGGAACAAGACTGATTTACTGGAAGCAACAGGCATTCAATTTATACAATAGCAGACTCCTCCTCTGGGCCAGGCTAGGTAATTGAGTTTCAGCAACTTACTAAACTCAATTATCTGCTGGCCAGAAATATTTAAATTTTTAACATTTTTAGAAAAGTACTTTCTGCACAACATATAAATATAACAATCACATCCTTGGGTAGCTGAGGATACTGGGAGTCACAGATCCAAATTTCACCAAAATCCGTTCGGTAGTTTCCGTGTCGCATCGTGTGGAAGTTTGACCGGCTCGCCATGTGGTGGTATCTGATTTAGAGTTCCATGAAGTCAGCAGCAAGAGCCGGTCTCCGTTCGCGCTTAATTACACGGAAACTACCGTACGCATGTTGCAGCTTGTTAAATGCGAATGCTCCCCTTGTTCGGTAGATTAAAACTCCAGAATGCCGGTTTGATACGTTGAATGGAAAGTAGTTAGTCAGGACTTCCATACTGACTGGCCGTTCACGTGATTGCCATGCCGAAAACAGTTCCAGGCAATTCACGTGTAAGTCCCGCTGACCGCATTCGGGAGATTTAAGATGGCCGCCATCCTTTGTTCTCGCCACGTGTTCATATGCTGAATGGCGGCCACCTAGAAGCACTCAATTAAGTTGTGGTTTTTCGTGTGATTACTCGATGTTCCAAGTTCTGATTGCTACCCGGGGTGGTCTCCGTTTGGTAGAACGAATACATTTTGCCGAACACATAGTTAAATGAAAACGCCCAAAAGCAGTTAAACAGCAGGGAGAGGATATAACCGAATGAACACGGGTGAGTATAGGAGAATCCTTTACACCTGTAATGCCACGTAACTTACTTTCTACATGGTTCAGCATTTCCCTTCTGTTGACATTAGGTAGAGTTCCTCTTGAAGCAATCTTGTAGGGGTTATTATATGTCTGAGTTCAGTGTGCGCATCTTATGGAAAACCAATGAAATGCGTGTGCTAGTCCTATTGGGGAGATAAAACAAGAGCTGTAGGATCTTTTTGGATCCCGGTTTGTTGGGAGGTTTATTTTTTTTCTACTACCAGTGAAGGATTACCATTATTAAATGGTTAGACACATTTATTTTCTCCTATTGTGTAAAATTAGACACTCACAGGGTTATTCAGCAAACTCAATAATTAAAATCGAATGGTAAAGAAGAGGTTATGCAGACTCTAGCTGAGGTGGAGAATTTTTTCACAATTAATCTATCTGGTAACATTTATTACATGAGAGTATTAAAATGTGATTTTTAACCCTAATCTGTGTATCGTACTGCACACACAAGATGTCTACTTTTTAACAGACCAAGACATTGTCACATTAATTCTATTGCTAGAGTTTTTTAAATTGGAATTGCTTAAATCTTCTGCCATTGTTTAGTGTACTCTCCTATTTATTTTTAGTTTTCATGTTAAGTTATCTTGGTTAAAAATGAATGAATTAATTAAAGGTCTCTGTTACATAAGTCAGTACATAGATTAAACTTTTTACTTTCAACCATGTTCCTCCACTTACTCCTTTATATATAAAAAGTAAAACACTCTTGTAGACTCATGCTTGGATAAACATGCGCAGACATCAACATGATAGAAGATAACATTTTGGCATTCTAGATTACCATGGTAACCGACTCGTCTAACATCCCTTCCTTAACATAAATGCCTTAGATAGTTTGATGGTTACAGTTCCTAAATCATTTGTTCATCACAATATATCTCAATATATATTCATACCGTTACAAAATAAACAAGAAAGATGCAATTTTATGTTAACTATTTAATTTCTCAGAAGCTTATACTTTTTGTTCAATAAACATATACAGTTGGAAGTAATGATTTATTGTCTGGTTCCTACGCACAGGGCTTAAAGGTTAAAGAAAAGGGCCAGGTGCTTATTTTTGGAATCTTCACTTGTCAGTGTAGCTCTTATGTTTCCATGTCTAAACTCCATCATTTTAACCTCTGGATCATTTGCCCCCATGACCTTTATTTTCATCGCCTTTTTCTGCTTGGCCTTTACTTCCATGGTCTTGTCCCCCTGATTCTCCAGAGCCTTTTTTCTCGTTGCCTTTACTTTCATTGCCTTTTCCTTCATGACCACTGTTTTCTTGACCTTTTCCATGGCCACCTTCTTCAGAGCCTTTTCTACCATGACCTTTATCTTCATGGCCTTTGCTCTCTTTGCTTGCATGATCTTGACCCCCATGATCTTGTTGGTGACTGGGTTCTAATGAGAAATTGAAACACGTGAAACATGATGCACTATCACTGATAACTGTAAAATCTAAATTTACTGTATAACCTAATTGTTTTCTGAGATATTTTTATTGAGGCGAAACATTCACAGCTATTTTTTCTGTTTGTTGTTTTTAGCAGAGAAGACACATACACAGCACCACTACAGCAAAACCGTTTCTTTATGTTTGGCTATTCAGGAATAGTATTTAAATAAAACAATCCAATTTATTGTACTTTGTAAGGATTGATTTGATCTACGTTTTAAGTTTTCCAAATTGTTAGAAATATCTCCTAGTTCTGGGTACCCTGTCCACAACAATGCAGAAATACGGACCTCTAAAATAACGCATAATTTTAAATTATGTTAATATGTAAATCAAAGTACAGCGAAAACATAGTTACATATTAATCGAGGTTGAAAAATTACCCGAGTCCACCAAGTTAAGCCAATCACACATTTTTGTTTATGTTGTTGACCCAAAAGAAGTAGAAAAATATTTTAACATGACTGCCAATTACGCCACAAAAGGGATGAAAAAATGTTTGACTCCATCGTGGACTGAGTTATCTTCAGTCATATAAATTATATTGTTAAATAATCTGTGTTGTCCAAAAAAGTTTCCAGAGCTTTTTTAAATAATGTAATAATATCTACAGTCACTAAATGTTAGTTTTATTCACATATCAAATGAGAAGTCACCAAGAGATGATAAGCAAAAAAAAAAATCTATATTTATATATTATATATTTAATAAAAATATATAAAATATAAATATATAATTTTAGATTTTTATACTGCTGCTCCTATTTTTCCCCTTGATTACCTCTTCACACCTGATTTGTGAACCAAAGGGCAGAACAATCAGTACACTACAAAAGATATACATAATATTTAAATTGTGTATTTTTTGCATTACATACTGGAGAAGGCGTCATGGACTGTTTTTTAATATTCTGGATTTTGAAACCTCCGTTTGGGTTTGCAATTAGAGTCTTGTTTTCACAACCTTTGTGATTGGTCTGAATCGTTTTCCCAAATATTTTTCTTGAACAATGTTCAGACGAGCCAAACTGACAAATGAACCAGAGTCCAACATCCCAAACGAAATTTTTTTTTTGGAAAAATGGCGTGAAGTTTTTTCTACTGTGCACAAGTCTAGTAGATATATGAAGTAGCCATCAAGAGAAAGATATAGAATCTAAAACAATTAAATAGTGCAAGGTTGTCTGGAATCTACGTTTAATGATCCTTAATTGCAAACCTAAATTGAAGTTTCAAAATCCAGAATATTAAAGAACAATCCAGGACACCTTCTCCAGCGTGTTCTTCAATCCCTTAGGAGGTACATTGCTTACAGCAACTTTTCAGCTCTAAATGAGTCGTTATCAAAGCATGTGCAAACATAGATTTGCGTAATTTAAATAGTGGAGCATGATATAAATCACTGTTAGCATGATTTGACGAAATTATAGTTAAGACCAAAGAATTACTGTGAGAGACAATAGTAAAAAAAGGACTACTGTAGATTTTGGAAGATATTTCCTGGACTATTCCTTGTTTTGAGTTATTGATAAATTCTGTATGAGATGGAAGTCAGTGCACCCACTCTGATCAGCACTGTGTGTTTCTTTGCTTTATTGCAATTTCAAAATGGCAGATTTGATGGATCAATTGGTTCATGTCCTCAACCATAATCCATGTTTGTGATTGTGTATTTATAAAATTCTACAGAACATTGTGTGTGTTTTATTACCTTTAGAGTGAGCTTGTGTAGCATCCTGACATTGTGCCAATTTGGTACCTACTAGAAAAGAGATATTTTGTTATAGCTTAAAAATAGATAATTACTTTTTTGTCAATATATAGATTATATAGTTATTTGTTCCTGGGGGAGCATTTTTTTTACACATACTTACCTCATGCTCAATTCCCCATCCCCAGAAGGGTGGCAGACAGTGGACCCATCCCCAAATGACACAATTATCATCAGAAACTAGGACATGTGGGATAGTAGAGGCCAAATGGAACACTACCTTGAGCCCCTACAGATATAGTGTTTAGTAACAAGAGAGCTGTAACTCACTTGGAGTATTGTATGCAGTACTGGAGACCATATCATCAGAAGGATATTGATACTTTAGAGAGAGTTCAGAGAAGGGCTACTAAACTGGTTCATAGATTGCAGGATAAAACTTACCAGGAAAGGTTAAAGGATCTTAACATGTATAGCTTGGAGGAAAGACGAGACAGGGGGGATATGATAGAAACATTTAAATACATAAAGGGAATCAACACAGTAAAGGAGGAGACTATATTTAAAAGAAGAAAAACTACCACAACAAGAGGACATAGTGTTAAATTAGAGGGACAAAGGTTTAAAAATAATATCAGGAAGTATTACTTTACTGAGAGGGTAGTGGATGCATGGAATAGCCTTCCAGCTGAAGTGGTAGAGGTTAACACAGTAAAGAAGTTTAAGCATGTGTGGGATAGGCATAAGGCTATCCTAACTATAAGATAAGACTAGGGACTAATGAAAGTATTTAGAAAATTGGGCAGACTAGATGGGCCGAATGGTTCTTATCTGCCATCACATTCTGTTTCTATATTTCTATATGTAACTGTTTGTATCATTAAGTTATACAGAAATCATTTTATTTTATGCCATTTACATAAATCCCATGGCCTTAGTTTTGTGACTATCAGGTTTTTCACTAAAGTGAGAATTCAAGGTGAATTCAAAGTGATTTTCAAATTTAAGGCGAAAATAGCCAAACTGGAAAAAAAAATCTTAGCCAGCTATGCTTTTAGGTCAACTACTCTGGCCTTCAATTTGAAATTCACTGTTTATGAAATACCTTTTCATGGAGAGTATATGTTCTTATGTTACGTTGTACAGCATTTTCTAAGAGCACTGGTAATCTTAAATTAAATTGATATTCCAGGCTAAAGCCAACCAATCCATTAATTTATTAATGCATGTTACAGATAATTAAGTAGTAAATATATAGAAAAGTAATAAACCTATTGCCATTTGAATTCTCTGCATTTGCCGTACTTACCCAGGCTGTGCTGTTTCTCTAACAAGCTCCGTCCATGACTTGTAACTTACTAAGTCAATCATGATGATCTCTTAAACGGAAACTGTCACTTCTCTTACATTTAAACCATTTAATAAAATACTGAAAATGACCTAGAATGTGTGCTAACCTTTTTAACAAGATTCTCTTTTTCTTTTAAATTTCTATTTTAAAAAATAACAAATAACATCATAATTGAGTTGATACGAGGCAAATCCAGGGTTTTTAAAGCAAATGTACAGGAAAAATAGACACATTATTTAATTCCTCTTCTTCTCTGTAGGCTTTCCCTGTGCTGACTGCCAGGTGTGAAGGACAGAGCTTTTAAAAATGTCTGACAGTGAGCTAAGACGGAGGTGCCCATCTGCAGGATAAAGAGGTAAATTTCTACATTTAATTATTATTTTTTTTAAATGACATCTCACCAGTATATATTTGTTAAATAAAGAGATAAGTAAACACCTGTTTAACCCCTTAAGGACCAAACTTCTGGAATAAAAGGGAATCATGACATGTCACACGTGTCATGTGTCCTTAAGGGGTTAAAGTGACAGTGAAGGTTCGCCTTTCACGTCTAAGAAAGCCCTGCACACCAGTGCTTTTTTGGGCATAACAGAAGGTTCTGAGATTTGTGTTTCAGTTTTAGCCTTTATTTTGTAACACATGCAAAGCTCCCAGAAATGTCTGCTTTGGAGTCTCGCAGGATAATACAGGTACATGTATGAACTCACACGCAGTTGTATCATTAGATAAAAAGGGAACTCTGCAGCTTGGGAAATACAGGCAGAAAGAGGAGTTATTGGATCATGCTATTCAATATCAAAAAACAAATGCACACCCAGTATAATTAACTGGAGTGTAACCTACACATTGCACCGAACGCCTTTAATTAATCGTTAAAACATGCAAAACAGAGCATTAATAGTTAGAGTTAATAACACAGTACATCTAAAATACACATTAAATGAAACTTACCTTCGTGATCTTTTGACTGTCCATGTTTTTGGCTGCTACCACCTTTAGTCCCAGACATTTTTATGGAATTCTGTAACTAATCAGTATGAGAATGTCTTTATATACACAGTTCCTTGCCCATAAATTATGCGTAAATATGATCTGTATTTGGGAATCCCTAGTCCAACCAATGGGATTTCTATTTGTGTTTCCTACAACTATACATTATACAATCCTTTAATTTTGGCAATTATTCTGTGCACCTCAAAGGCAGAATACGTTTGATCTATATTCTGCTCCTTATTCATCTGTAAATAGCGTTTAATGCTAGTGATTGTTGTCTGTCTCATTAAATGGCATCCTTGATGGATCGCAAAGTAAAACATACATTTTAGAGATCAACATTTTCAAGGGGACCTTTCAAGCTATATTTTTATAGAACAATTATTATTAACTGGTTAATTGTAATATAGATAGTGGTATAATGTTTATTTTATTTTTTTAAAAACTATAGTTATAGCAGGATGAAGCAGTTTGAACTGGGCCACGAGTATATCTGTGCAAAATTTAGTTTGAAGTGATTCCCCCAAACCAAATTCCTGTTAAACTATACTGGAACAAATAGATTCGGAATCAATCTTACCTGTAGACTCCACAAGTAAGAGATTCAGAATTGATTTATTTGGTGATTATCAGGAATTTGATTTGGACAAATTATCTAGCCTAGACACAAGTTCACTAAAGTGAGAAATCAAAGCGAATTAAAAATGAATTTCAAATTTAAGGTCAAAATAGCTGAAATGGAGAAAATATCTAACTTAAAATATCTATGCTTTCTATGCAACTACTCTGGCCTTCAATGTGAAATTTACTTTGAATTCTCACTTTATTGAATAACCATGTATGCCATCTGAAACTCCATACTTACCTGTTGATCTACAGATCTAATAAGGAATCTGTACCCCACACACCTACATGTATAGTTTCTGTTTGATCTAATGAAGCCTGAGAGTGCTGTGATTTTACATCATTATTCTCTAAAAGGGTGTAATAAGGAGAGTCAATAAAGCAGTCTAATTGAGTTCATTATCTCTAGATCAGGAGTGCCCCAGATGTCGTAGAACTACAACTCCCATGATGTTTTGCATGCCTTTGGGATGCCTTTAGAATGGCAAAGCATCATGGAAGCTGTAGTTTTAAAACATCTGGGGATCTACCGTTTGGGCACCCCTGTTCTAGATAATATGTAAATGGATTCAAATGTAACTGCAGGACTCAGACGTTCAACAGATATTCCTGTATTTAAAAAAAATTGGTGATTACTGTGTCGAGTGCGCTTACAGATGTGATTGGGTGAAGGAAAGCAGCTTCACACTCTAGTGGGTGCTCTCTTATCCCCACTAATTATAATAATGAACCAAAGTGAGTTTAGTGCAGCCTGGATAGGATATCCAGACTGTACTAATCAAGTGAGTGGAGCGCTAGAGATATACACTTACCCTATGTTGGTACATATAAAGGAAACAGAACAATATAACACAATATAGTGTAAATCCACAAATAATGATGTATTATAGTAATGTTTCTAATAGTCAAACTCACATGGATTAGAGCCTCAAAGGAACAGGCTCAAATCGCTTCCACAGTAGTGTTGGATGGAGACACTGCACCCTTTGGCTGGAATGGGTTTCCTCAAGAGAAAGAAACGAAAAGGGAGACTTCCTAGTGTACTATGTTTCAGCATGAATCGAAATTACAGTGGTTATGGTTGTGCTCACCTTTTTCTGAGCCAATGAAAACCTGGCTCTGGATGGTAGACCTGGGTACCTCTAGAGGGGGGCACCTGCCCTTCTTTAGCAGCAAGAGAGGGTAGAAAGCCAATGGGACTGAAAAATATAAATTTATTGCAACTTTAAATATAAAATCAAAGAAAATCAAATCAAAGTGTCCAATTGATAGTTTACAAAGTGTAAATGTCCCAGTAGTTGGCTCCAGCTCAGACGTGTTTCGACCCCGCTCTGTGGGCTTTTTCAATCGGATTTAGTGTTTCTAATATCTTGCTTCTTTAAATATGCCGGTCTTTTCATTCGGTGGGCGGTCCTTCACGCTCATTATCCAATCAAGTTTCTGTTTGTTGTGTGGTTGGTTTCCTCACCTTTAGTCCATTAACCCCTTAAGGACCAAACTTCTGGAATAAAAGGGAATCATGACATGTATCCTTAAGGGGTTAACGTGATCGGGAGTGACGTAGTATCACTATCCACGTCACTCCCGCATTCCCTGCGGCCATTCCTGTATTTAGGCCTATCTAGGATGGTTTGTACATGTTTATTTTAATAATGTGAATAATGAGTAAGTTGCACAAATTAGCCAGAGATGACAGAAGGTGTAAGATGGCTTGAATAAATGTTCAAGTTTTCAGAAGAAGTGACTATGGACTGTTTAAGAAAGGTAAAATATTCACAAGTCTGTACCTCACATTGTGTCCTACTGCAATCTCAGCTCCGAAATGCCTGTGTTTGATAGGATAGTTCCTATTTTGAGGTTCTGTACAGTTGTCCCGATTAAGTTTCCCAGTGCCATGCATATGGAGACAACAGGAAACTATAACCAGACAGCAACAGTGTAGGAGCATCACAAGATACTAGTGCTCTCTGGATGGTCCTATATTTTGGAGGAGCGTACTCAACACCAGAATGGACGAGACATGCGTGCATACTTTGCTGTCAGGCCCACCTATTATGGTGTCACCCGTGACACAAGTTACGCCTCCTTGAAGGACCACTCATCCCAATTTCAATGTTGGGAAGTATGCAATCTGACTCAGTTTATTCCTTAAACTTCAAATTGTATTGAACTGACATTTGAATGGTAAGAGTGAGGCTAAAATAACTGATTTCAATAAAAATAATCTCCAACTCATTTATAGACACATCTGGGTTATTTTGGCTTCAGGTTTTGCCATTAAAAATCCATCCCAGTATTTCAGCCCACTTGGTTTATTCACTCAAATGGGAATTGTCAGGAATTAAACTTTTTTTTTTTATTCTAGGGCAAATCTTGGGTAACTACACATTTGTCAAATTTTTTTTATTATAGTGATTATGTATAATATAGTGAATAACACTGAAAGTGTCTGAATGCACCACTTGGGTTAATGAATGCCTCCCAACATTTGAAATGGACAAAGAGGGACAAATTAATTTTAGGATTGTGAGTGGGTGCTGTCCTGAGATCTCTTTTCTAAGTCCTATAAAAAAGGAAGGGCTAGTTATGAGCTTAGTATTTCAGTCAGGGCATATTTTTAGTGTACAAAGACAAACTCCCAAAATTCAAACTACAAAACTGATTAGGATGTACATAACACACAAGGGTCAATCAGTATAAACCCTTTTGTGTCAATATTTTTCTGCTTGATGCAATCATTATAATTGTGTGTTTTGCCAGTCTGTTAATTTTGTGCCCACCTACGGTACTTCAAATGTCAAACACAACTGAGCCAGAGGCGTAACTAGATACTACCGGACCATGGTGCAAAAATTGTCCTGGGCCCCCCATGGGTCTCAACCTACCCCCTCAGCCCCTCCATATGTATCATTCCCCCACCCCCTCCATGTGCCGTATCCTCCCCCTTGCCCCTCCATGTGTCTCTCCCCCATCCACCTTACCTTCATGTAGTGTGACTGAGCTTACCAAAGTACCGAGTCCACTCAACCACGCTACTTACCGTGACTGGCAACAGGGGAGCACTGTGCTGTATACTCCATCCTGCCGGTCACCCAGCAACTATGCATCCCGGAACGGAGTGGCTCTGCACCAGCCCTAAAGTCATTGTGGTCGCAGGGGTTGATAGGGGGGCCCGGCCCCCCTGAGTGATGTACCTGGTTGCAGCTGTGACCCCTGCAACCACTATAGGCACCCCACTGATTGTAGCCCTGGTGTTTGAATAAGTTCTGCAGTTGTATAGATTGCTCAGTTCCATCACCTACATATTTGTTTTATTTTGACACTGTTGCACATAGAAGGCTTATCAATAAACTGCAATCTTTATAAGTTTGGATTCAAATATTGTTGAATGGGTAAGGCAGTGGCTGAGTGACAGGCAACAGAGGGTTGTAGTTAATGGAATATATTCGAAGCTTGGACTTGTCACCAGTGGGGTACCTCAGGGATCTGTACTTGGATCCATTCTCTTTAATATTTTTATTAGTGATATTGCAGAAGGTCTTGATGGTAAGGTATGTCTTTTGCTGATGATACTAAGATATGTAACAGGGTTGATGTTCCAAGAGGGATAAGCCAAGTGGCAAATGATTTAGGTAAACTAGAAAAATGGTCAGAATTGTGGCAACTGACATTTAATGTGGATAAGTGCAAGATAATGCATTTTGGACGTAAAAACCCAAGGGCAGAGTACAGAATATTTGATAGAGTCCTAACCTCAACAATTGAGGAAAGGGATTTAGGGGTGATTATTTCTGATGACTTAAAGGTAGGTAGACAATGTAATAGAGCAGCAGGAAATGCTAGCAGAATGCTTGGTTGTATAGGGAGAGGCATTAGCAGTAGAAAGAGGGAAGTGCTAATGCCATTGTACAGAACACTGGTGAGACCTCACTTGGAGTATTGTACACAGTACTGGAGACCGTATCTTCAGAAGGATATTGATACCTTAGAGAGGGTTCATAGAAGGGCTACTAAACTGGTTCATGGATTGCGGGATAAAACTTACCAGGAAAGGTTAAAGGATCTTAACATGTATAGCTTGGAGGAAAGACGAGACAGGGGATATGATAGAAACATTTAAATATATAAAGGGAATCAACACAGTAAAGGAGGAGACTATATTTAAAAGAAGAAAAACTACTACAACAAGAGGACATAGTCTTAAATTAGAGGGACAAAGGTTTAAAAATAATATCAGGAAGTATTACTTTACTGAGAGGGTAGTGGATGCATGGAATAGCCTTCCAGCCGAAGTGGTAGAGGTTAACACAGTAAAGGAGTTTAAGCATGCGTGGGATAGGCATAAGGCTATCCTAACTATAAGATAAGACTAGGGACTAATGAAAGTATTTA